GAAGCAAAACCAAGAAAGCAGATCTCTTCTCTTCCCCGGGGGTGACGGGGGGCGGGGGGCTGCGGGATCTCTGCCCCCACCCCTCCCGCCTCGGACCTGGGAGTCTCTAGCCCCCGCCGTCCAGACGCCCCCGCCAGGCTCCCGCACCGAGCCCCAGTCCTGGAGCGGCGCTCAGTGGCCCCCAGTAGAGCCCAGCCCCTTCCAGCGCTCAAACTCTTTTGTTTTAAATGAACTGGATGGAGCAGCATGGAACTGACGGGAGGGGGGCGCGCCGGGGGCGCCCGGGGCATGCCGGGAGTTGTAGTTTCCCGCCCTCGGGGGCGCGGGGACGAATTCCTTGACCCGAGGAGGATAGGGATGTGCCCTTCGGTCTCGGCCCGCAGCTCGGAGGCGAGAGGGAGGGGTGGGAGCCGAGGTCCCTAATTTTTTAAGGGGCGGGGAGGAGAGGGAGGGTGGCGTGCCGAAACGGAGCGGGTTTGCAAAAGGCTCATGCAGCGCGTCCCCCTCCCAAGACCGGCCCCTTCCCCAACCCGCCCGGTCCTGGGGGCTCTCTTTCTTATGGTAATGAGGGGGCCGGGGGCGGGGAGCGGTCCCAGCTCGGTCACTGCGGCTTTCTCTCTCCCTCTCCCCTCTCCCCCCTCCCTGTCGCGCTCCCTCTCCGCTCCCCCCTCCCGCTCTCTCTGAGTCGATCCCAGCTCCCGACCGCGGGGAGAGGTTCTCGGCAGAGCAGACAAAGCCCGCAGCCGCGATGGGGGGAGCATCGGGCTCTGAGCGTTATGGGGACCAGCAAGGGGTGCCAGTCCGGCGGTGGGACCCCCTGGCAGAGGATGGGGTCCCCTCATCCCTAAGCAGCAAGCCAGCTCCCCTCGTCCCCCCTCCGCCCCCCAGTCTCGGAGATCTCAGACGCACCGACTGGGAGGTGAGTTAGTTCACATCCTTCTGATCAGTCGGAGGGGGGTGGGGAGGGCTGTAGAGTGCGGAGGTGAGGATGCTGAGGGAGAGGAGGGAGAGAAGTGGGGGCCGGAGAGTGGGGAAGCAAGGAAAAGTCTTCAGGCCTGGTGTGACTTAACCGTGTGGGGTGAGGGCCTGGAGCTTTGGGTGTGACAGGAGGGTGGAGAGGTAGGGGTGAACTGGGAGGGATCCCAGTCTTCCTCTAGGCCTGGGCTGGGACTACAGCTTGGGGAGGATCTGTTCTTTAGTACCGTCGTGGTCCACTCTGCCACCTCCTGCCCCTCCTCCCACCCCCTGGCTCCCCCACATCCCGCAAACCCATTCATTCAACCCCTTTGCCTCTGGAAATTTGGTGAGAGTGAAAATAAGTTTTTAAGGCTTGGACAGTTAGGCACTTTTAGAGGAAGTTTCGGGTCGTTGGAGCGTAATGCAATGTTGTCTTCTCTTCTGACCCCGTATCTTCAGCATTTCTCTTATCAACCCTTTTTGTGTCTGAGTTTTTCCCAAGAAGAAGGGATGGCACTGCAGCTTGAGAGCTTGAGGTCAGACTTCAAGATGAACCTCCCAAAAGAGTTTTATGAGAATGGGAGGTGAGCCACAGTGTCCTTTTCCAGAGTACTTTGGAAACCCAAAATCCAAACTAGTTTGTGAGGTAAAGCCCTGCTGAGAGGCAGGGGAACGGACCTAGTGTTAAATTGATTCTTGGAGAGAGTGAATTTGCACACCCACGGGAGGGCAGGGAACTGAGCAGAGGATCTCTGGAGGGGGTGGGGGTTGGCCTGCTGCTGGACTCTTCCTTGACTGAGCAGAAGATCCAGGGAAGGAAAGCCCTGACTGAGGAGCCTGGAAGGCCCCCAGAGCTGGGCGGGGGTGCCCCCTGGACTGGGGATTTAGCATCGATTAACAATAAACCTTATTGTGGGCCTAAGTGCTAGGTGCTGCAGCTGTCCCTCTGGCAAGAGAGGAAGATGCCCTGGAGATGGGCTATCTCTGACTCTTGTCCCTCTGTGTGCCTCAGGAAGCTGGATTGCAGCCACAGTGGCACTGGGACCATGGGGCGCTTGTGGGGGGAAAGTTCCTACTTTGTGGCCAGGTGATTGTTTTCCACATTAATAGAAACACCAAACAGTTGAGTGGGACTTACTGTGTGGCAGGCATTTTGTGTGTGTGTGTGGGGGGCAGCTGGCTCCAGCCTTCCTGGCCCCGCTGAGATGAGATTCCCCCAGACTCCCACCCTGAATCGGCCCTGCCTCTGCTTTCCTCCCCACTAAGCTAATTAAAGCAGGAGGTTAATGACCAAAGAAGCCTTGGGGATTTGGCCAGGGAGGAAAACAAACAGCAGAAACAATTGTGTATGAGTGGGGAGGGGGACAGCTGCTGATGGGGGGGAGTCCCTGCCAGGCAGGGTTCCTGCCGGACCCTCATCACTGATCCCACAATAAGGATGACTCAGCTCTCTGGGTAAGTGGATGTCCACCCTCAGGGTCCCGCTGGGACTCCAGACACTCATCCTCCACAGCTGGGGAGGCAGGCGTGAATGCCCCTGGAGGGTAGGGGGAGCATGGGTGCACTTGGGTGTGTGGCATGGTAGACACATGGAAGTGCCCACAGGCAGAGGAGTCCCAGCTGGGCACCTAAAGAGCTGGGGTTTTGTTTTGTTTTGTTTTGTTTGAGTCGGAGTCTCTGTCGCTCCGGCTGAAGTGCAGTGGCACACTCACAACCACTACAGCCTCCAACTGCTGGGCTCAGGTGATTCTTCAGCATCAAGCTTCCAAGTAGCTGGAGCTACAGATGTGCGCCACCATGCCTGGCTAATTTTTTTGATTTATTGCAGAGATGAGGTCTCATCAAGCTGCCTGAGCTGGTCTCAAACGCCTGGACTCAGGCAATCCTCTTGCCTCCACCTCCCAAAGTGCTGGGATTATAGGCGTGAACCACCATGCCCAGCCAAGGAGCTGGGTTTTTAGGAGTCCTTTCCCTGACAGCCCCTTCCCAGCACTGACCAGCTAGGCTTCTGCCATGGGTGCTCCTTTCTCACTGCCCCTGCCTGCCCAGTATTGCAGCCATGAGAGCACAAGGCCTCAACTTAGACAATACTTCCCATGTCAGCCTTATGGCCAGAAAGGGGGATAGGTGGCATGCCTTCCCCCTTCAGGACCTGGGAGGACAGTACTGTGTCTTTCATCCTGATCACTGTCCCCTACCCTAGCTGCCCAGGGCTCAGAGCAGAGGCTCAGTAAGGGTGTGGCGAGTGTAACTGTGTGTTTAAAGCTTCATGGTATCAGGGAAAGGAAAGGAGCGGGTCTCTGGAGACAAGCCTCAGTTTCCCCGTCTCTAGGATGGAAATTACAAGCCAAGTTCTTAGCATAGTGCCTGGCACATGTTAGGTGTCCCGTCAATGTTAGTTTCCTGGCTCCGGCTGTTCTCCCCTTGCAGTTGGCTTTAGCCACATGGTGGTGTTCATTTTTGGCTTCTTGTTTTTGTTTTTGTTTTTTTAAGTTGGAGTCTCACTCTGTCACCCAGGCTGGAGGGCAGTAGCATGCCTCTCGGCCACTGCAGCCTCGACCTGCTGGGCTCTGGCGATCCTTCCGCCTCAGCCTTCCAAGTAGCTGGAACTACAGGCAAGTGCTACCACGCCCGGCTAATTTTTTTTTTTAATTTATTGTCGGGACGAGGTCTCACCAAGTTGCCTGGATTGGTCTCGAACCCACGGGCTCAGGCAACCCACTCACCTTGACCTCTCAAAGTGCTGGGATTACAGGCTCAGCCACCAAGCCTGGCTGTGGTGTTCACTAATTTCCATTCATCCATTCAGCCAACCGCTTCCTATTGGGCCCCCAGGATGTGCCAGGCTCTAGAGGAGATTCTGACCCATCATGGGTCACTCAAAGTTCTACGTCTAGACTTGCTGAAATAAGATTCCAAACAGCAGATAATTCTAAAAATAATTCTTGTTAAGCATTGGAATGCAAGTGAACTCTGTCTCTCTGTCTCTGTCTCTGTTGCTGTCTCTCTCTCTCTCTCTCTCTCTCTCTCTCTGTCTCTCTCTCTCTCACACATACACACACACAGACACACACACACACACACACACACACACACACACCAGGCTCCTAGCCTCATGCCTGGGGAACAAAGGACCCTGTTGAGTTGTGGAGTGAGTGCACACCCACAGGCCTGGCTGCAGGGCAGGAAAGGTGACCCAGTCCAGAATCCAGGGCTCTTTGGAGGCCTGGGGCCAGGAGTGGGTGGAGGATCCAGACTGTTGCTTATCTGTGTCTGGAGTGTATCCCTTCTTTCCTCTGAGCACCTGTTATTATTGTCCAGGCACCAAGTGCCAAGAGATGGAGGGAGGCACGCCTGATGCTTGCCCCT